TAGTATCTAATTTGGTTCCTCCTTCCAACCATTTTAAGAAACATAGTTTTTTTTTTGTGAGCCTTATTCTAGATCCAGTAATATGGAATAGCTGTTGCTAACATGCTGTAATTCTAATCCTTGAATTATTCCTTACAAGTTGCAATAATTCCCTTCTATATTCCTACAAATGCATCTAATTGTGTCAACTAATTTGTTTTATATTTCTATAATCAAATATACATAGCTAACTACATACCATCTTGAAAGGTAGACTGATGCTTGACTATCGATTTAATTACAGAAATGTAATTTATTTTCATAATCAAACTCAACATAGATAGTAGACTATTTATCCCAAAATATAAAATGATATTCCACCATCGTTTTGAAAATAAAATTAACAATGGATAAAACTTCAATCTATGTCTAGAGATTTTTCCTTTGCTATAGCGAACTAAAGCAGGATTTATTTTTTACTGAGTTCTAGGTTTTCTATAGAGGCAAGCTTCTATAATTAATTATATCCAAGATAAGTCTTGAAAAAACTCTCGATTAATTTTGTGACTAAATTTTTTTAGATTTATAGGGGTTTATATGTAGGATTTTGAGTTTAAGCCTATCAACAGATAAATATTCAAAATTTGAACGATTTTTCACAAGTCAATGGAAGAAAAGTAGAAAGTGCTTGAGATTCTAGGATAACCTAGAAACACTCCAACTTATATTAATGTTTGGATTTTACCATTTAGATTAGGATTTAGTTTATGTTTGAGTTTATAGTTTATTAGAAGATAAGGATAATCCTTCTGGAAGGATGCATATAGAGTGTATGCAAATATGGGCTTATATTTGTTTGAAGTGAACAGGCAACTAACAACTTAAACAAACGTTTTTAAAACCATTCTTTTTAGGTATAATGCATGGATGGTAGATAACTATTATTTAACTAGAATTAGGAATTTAAGATCAGACTTTAATTAGGATCTTGAAGATGTCATGCACCTAGCTAATGCACTTTAAAATATATTTTTTTAATATATGCTCTAGATTCTCTATAATGTACTTAATGTGATCTACACTATACGACTAACTTAATCTACATTAGGTTTTATAGAAAAATTTAGCAGCATAACGACTTTAAATTTATATGAAATAGTAGGCTCAACCCCGTCGCTAAGGTCGTCCCTTGCTTGTCATTGGCTTATGTGCTTGGCTATTGTGCATGTATGGATGGCATCTTAAAGCAAATATGCATGAATATGCAAGGGTGTTCGGGTCTACGGTATAGAAACATCTCAGCGTCCTAAGAGCCTATTGTATGTATCCCCGCAATGACACATGTCGCAAAGAAACCTAGGAAAACAAACTACCCCTGAATGCAGGTTATCTGTCAAACCATAAATGAAATGCATATGTATGAATGGAGCACTGTATAAAGAAAAGTAATATACTTATATATATGACAAATACCACTATACATTTAACCTAGGATCTGCAGGAAAATAAAAGTGGCTAGGCACCATTTACAACAAGCCTAAATTTCTATTCCTATAGAATGACAAATCTAAATGTGCTTGCTTTTTAAAGTCTTCAGGTTGTAGGCATCAGGCAAATTAGGCTTCAAATCTTTTATAGAATTCCAAAAGAAAATGCGATCAAAGAAAGATAATTTCTTTTGGAGTCCTATATATAAGCAATAACATTTTTTATTTTTACAACTCAATCTACCTATACAAGAATCTATGCTTCACATATCATGGACTTTTTTACAAACTTTACATTTACAACTTACAAATTGCATTTATACTTTATGAAATAAAGGTTGACTCAAACTGGACTAGTGCAAGTATATGCAAGCCAAGTAAAGTGCACTGAAAAAAATTAAATATGAGAAAATGCATGATATAACATCCTTGAAATTTGCATTTGCATTAATCAAACTATAAAGGGAAATACATCAGAAAAGCATGCAACTATGTTTGAAAAATTTTATCACTTTCATCCCTCAAAATATTAGCAAAAGTTGAGGGAATCTTCCTGTAGCGTATGTCATTCCACAAAAAGTCACCAAAAAGGGCAAAATGTGCACAAAAGTCGGCTGCATAATTGCTTTGTCTTGGAATGTTGTTGAAGAGAACCTGCTTAAACTGAGTGAGGAAAGAAACATCAATTTCCAAGTTGCTTTGGTGGAGGACATGGTCATGGTTCATAAGATCCTTCAGCCATTTGATTGCAATAATGCAATCTACTTCAATAATGATACCGTCCAGATCATACATCCAATGATGGAGCACATCACATCTTTGATAACAGTAGTAGCTAAGATCTCGACATTAGTGATGTCCCAATGTTCAGCATAATATAACATCCAGAGTGTAGATAAAGTAAACAAACACAGCAGGTGACACCCTCCAAACAAGGCATCCAATCACCCCAAAACATAAGTAAATAAGCACCACGTAGCCTAGACTAGAGCTAGTTATCCAAGCAGGCAAATTCTACAGTGTGCGCTAAGCTTGTATGGCTTTGAGTTATCTATATTTGAATTTATTTTTTGATTATAGGGTAAATGGATTTTTTTAATTTGAATTTAAGTTTTAATATTTTATTACTTTATTAATAAATTTTATTTTAATGGTTAGAGTTATTTAATTTTAAGTTATATAGAATCTTGATGATTAATAAATTCAAGTAAAGTTTGAAGTAAAAATTATCAAATCAGAAAGCTCATAATTGTAATGTATTTGATTTTTCCTAAGGGATAAAGCAAGTGCATAGAGTCCTTTGAATTTATTATTAAAGACCTGACCAGTGTTTGATTTTGAAATTTAATTTGAGTTAGATTTTAATTTTATTTTTCATGCATTATACTATTTATTCGGAGCATTTAAGATTATATTTTTATGATTTATATTTATTTAGTTATGAAATTTACAAGTTTGATTGGTTTATTTAATTCCTTCACATAAAAGGAACTTAGAGCATTGCAATTATTTGATCAAATGATTGATACCATGAAGTAGGGATAAGCCAAAAGTACAATCACTGAAAATTTGAGATCAATTGGACCAAAGGATGAGTTTATATGATTTAATTTAATTAAAATTTAATTAAACCCTAAGTTGTGATTAAGGTCATTTAAAATAAAATTTCATGGGGCTTTTATTTTTCTCTAATTATACATTCAATTTATGATTCAATGCAATTTATTTTATGATTTTATGAGTTTTATTTAATTAATTATGAATTTTATAAGTTTTAAGCTCAAATTTGCGGCTGAAATTAGGGTTTGTTAATTTAGATGACTTAGGGAGTCATAATTGCCACCAAATTAATACCTAGGGTTTAGGATGTCACTAAGGCCTAGTTTGATTGGGCATTTTTGTGCTTATTCCTTTTTAAAACGGTAAAGTTATTTCTTTTTTACTGTCTGGTTCCTTAAACCACGTTCCTAATAATACCATTTTGTTCATTTTTTCTGTTTTGAAAAAAATGCTTATTATATATGCCTTTTCCATTAGAAAACTTCTTTCTCTGAGCCAATGTTTCTTAAAATTGCCTTTTACAAAAGTATCGAATAACCAAACGAAGCCTAAGTTCACTAGGTTTGAGTTTTATCCCTATTGGACTTGAAATGAATTTCTTATAATTTTTCTAAGTTATGAAACCCTAGATCTAAGTTGATTAATTTAGGTGTATCTATTGTTCAACTGGGTTGCAAGCAAGTGTGTCTAACCCTCATGAGAACACACAAACCACAAAAACATTAAACTCTAATTCTCTATGGATTGTCTGTAATAATTTTTAAAATATCTAGGTCAAATTTTGAGCCATTTATTTGAAAAATCAAGTCAAGCTAGTGGAGGGCTTCAATTAGGGTTGAGAAAATTATGGGATGCAGATAATATGCCATAGTACCTCTCAACCAAATTTGGGGCTAATTGAATGAGTGTATAGGGAGTATTTAATGAAAAACAGTGTGCTGGCAATCTCTAAACTATAGAACTCTTCCAAAATCTTTGTTTTTTAGAACTTTGTAGTTTAAATTTCTCACTCACAATCTCACAAGACTTAAAGATTGTTTTTAGACGATGTAAGCTCTAAATTACATAAATAATTTACAAAAAAGAAAATGCTTTCAGTGAGCCTAGGAATAAGGAAAAAGTTACTAAAATTAATTTCCTCAAAGGGAACTAGAAATGAGCACCTTAAGAACTTTGCCTTCCGAATCTCCTTTTGAACAATATAATACTTAAAGTTAAAAAAACTTTTTTCACTCTTAAGTTTTCCTTCGCAAAAATGTTAGTATATATAGCCTTCAAGCCTCTTAAAATTCTCAAAATGAATTAAGAATTCCTCAAAAAGACCCGTTAACAAGCTGAGACTTGGCTAATTTTTAGCTTTCCTTGACGTGTATTATTTCCGGCAGACGACTTTATGGCGGACTAGGTCTCCTGCCAACCTTGCTAGATCTATACTGAGATCAACATGTCGCTTTCCCTTGTAGTTGAGAATCAATCTAATCTCGCCATGTAGGTTGTTATAACTCCGTTGAAGTATCATAGTTTATTTACAGTTATTCTCTACTTCTAAGTTTCCTTTTTACCATGCTGCTCTACCAATTCCAGAATGCCATTAAACTCAACTTAGCTGACACCAGAAAATGGTCGCATGTACCTGCTTCTGTAGGCTCCTAATAGGGCTGCATATCTGGCGAAATTATTCTGTGCGGAGACTGGACGCAGAACAACGTCCGGAAACCAATCAGAATGCGTCATGTCAGCAATACCGAGCAGAGGGTGACGTGGTGCATTCTGATTGGTCTATGAACGACGTTCGACATCCACACAAAATAATTAATCGCATCTCTGAGCACGTTTAAAGGGATGCATGCTTCGACCATGTCTCTGATTGTCATAAAATTCGTTTGTGTTGCATGATTAGTTCTTTTGTTCTATATTATTGCAATTCCTACACTCTACATTGATTTTCAAGGAGACTAAACATTGGTTTTCCAGGCATTCAAACGTTTGAAGAAGCACAATTTGGAGGTATCAAAAGTACTTCCTGCTCGAAGATCTATTGTTGATAGAGTCGATCCAACACCACTGAGGATGAGACATCCCCCTTCTGTTTCTAAACTGGACGTTAAGTTGAAGAAGCATAAAGAGGAGCAGCTTAAGTTCTACTCTTCCGTTTCAAATAAACAACCAACCTCCGTTGAGCCCCGTCCAAAGAGTCTAGAAGTTAGAGGCCCTTCTGTCTCCAGTGGTGTTGTTGAGCAGAGCAGTTCCTGCTGTAGATTTCCAGAGAGCAAAGAAAAAGCCAGAAGAAATTTTCCTCAGAGCTTGTACTGGCAGTGATGGTTGCTAACAACAGATTTTATTCTTGGCTCTAACTATAGGAAGTGGATTTTCTAGGTCAGATTTGATTCACTTAATTGATTCTTTGTGCAGGCCTCAAATTGGTGAGCCGGCACGGCCTGATTCTTAGATTTTATCTAAGATGTTACTCTTGTTGTTTTTTTTACAATGGCTCTGTGGGGCAGGGGACCTAAACCTTGAAGGGTTGATTCTAAGGGTAGTTTTTACTGTATACTTTGTTGATATTGATCAATTGTAGATTGGTCAGCCCTGCCTCAAATGCCAGTTAACCATTACACGCTAATTCCTTTCATTCTTTTGTAAGGCTAGCTATATCCATTGGCATATAAATACCTGATCTTTCTGCTTTTTTATACCTACTTTGAACCATGCAGCTGAGGTTAAGATAGGAATTGTTTTGTTATGTATGTTTTTTCTTTTTCTTCTTGATCTGTTGAGAGTGATATTTGTGGCACAGTTTTATTGAAATATTAGTCTTCATCCCATGGGCGGAGGGAAGGCAGGGCAAGGGGGGCGTGCGCCGCGCCCTCCCCGTAAAAAAAAAAAGAAGTGCACTGTTAATATTTGAGAGAGAGAGAATGTGCAATTTATATTCAAAATATTGTAAAAGAAAATATCATCAAAAGATAAAAAATGTGCATTTATACCGTTTATCTTTGATATGTCATAAAAAAATTATCTTGATAACAAATCTCAAAACAAAATCAAGTTTGAAACTTCCGAAATTAAATCGGAGATCATCTTAATTCTGATTTCAAAAAACTTATAATCAAATTGAACCTCTCAGAATTACAAATGCAAGGATGCCACATAAGATGTTAAGCAAAAGTATTTTGATTTAGGCCTTTTGGATAAATTTTTTGACTCCGCCACTGCTTTATCCTTAAATAGAGTTGCTTTGTGCTTATATTACTGTTGGTATTGTAAAGCAGCTTGAAAAGCGTAGTAGTAGCCGAACTGGCAAGGGATGTAATGATTGAGTTATTGAGGCTAATGTAGCTTATGTGTGACAGACCAGGTGGGCTTCTTTACTGAAAGGCCAATCACAGTTTGCAGTATATGAGCGGGATCTTTTAGTATCAGCCGAAGGTGGTGGTGAGCATTTTGGTCATTAAGCTTCTTTCTATGGCTCTGCCCAACCCTTTTTCTGATAATGTTGTTCTGCCTTGGTTATGTTTGGTGCGCGGTCACCTTCTCTTAAGATCCTATGAGAAATGCAGTGGTGCGAGTTGGCATCAATTTTGAAAAAAATTTGTTAGAATGTACTTCAAAGTTATTTTTGGAATGGGATATCTACCCGCTATCAAGGAACCTAGCGAGATCATCCACCGGCATCGGGCCCACACTTGTTTTGCCCCACTGAAGAGGCAAGAACCTAGTAGAGAGGATTCGAACCCGAGATGGGAGATTCCCTACCGTTCTTGCCCACCAACCGCCCTAAGCTTTGGTGGGTGTACTTCAAAGTTCCAATGGAAGATAAGATTAGAGAGTCCTTTTAGATGGTATGGTCACATAAACATCAGTCTTCTAATAATCCAATTAGAAGTGTAGATGTATCAGATTACATATACATTAAGGCCTCATTTGGTTGAAGTATTTCTGTCGTTTAAGTTTATTTAGAAGCGGTTGTTGAGGAAATTAAATTTTAAAAAATATTGTTTAAATAAATTGATGATTGTTTAATTAAATTGCTTTTGGTATGCTTATGTAAATCTTAAATATAAATAAATTATTTGATTGTGTTATTAGCTTTATTGTTTTAGTCATAAGAGAATAAATTGCTCTTATATCAAAATTAAGTATATGTTATTCATTAAAAAATTTTAAAGAAAAATTAAAAAATATACAAAATTTGTAGAAACTCTCATTTAAAATATCATATTTTCTTGCATAATACTTACTTCAAGTACTTTAAAATAAATTTATTACTTATTGATTATATCTAATTTTATATACTATTTATTCATTTTTATATTAAGTATATTTAACAAGTATTTAATTTTTTTTAAATGCTTTTATAATATCCGAACTTATAACATAAAACTTATTATAGATACTGTCAACAAAATTATATTAGATAAGGATTATAATTAAAATTTTCTTTTACTATTTTTCACAAATATTTACTCCAGTAAATGTATTCTGTAATTAATTTATTGTAACTTTTTCATGAAAATTTATCATATATGAAATCTTTGCCTGATGTTCATTTACAATATTGCAAGTTCTAATATTCTTGGTATAAGTACATAAAAACTATATAAATCTATTACATAATGATTCCTATAAAATTTTCTATTACATGAATGCATGCATTAATTATTGTAATTATTTTCATTAATACATTATAAATAACTTCAAATTTGAAGATCGACAAGGGAATAATAAAAGTACAAACTTTATATTGATAATGTCATCACATGACGACCAATACTTTATGTAACAAACTTCCCTATATGCTTCAATACAAATTAAGTACATGAACATATACTCTAATAAACGAAACGGACAATTAATATCAGCATATTTCATCTCATGAGTGATTTGTTGTCTTCCTGTTGTTTCTGTTGTTGGTTTGTTGGAGACTTGTTGTTCCTTTTACCTCCTTATTGTCAGTTTTTTTTATTACCTTTTCTGCAGGTTGACGAGGCTCTTCTAGCTGCTTCCTTGATTTGGCTTGGGCTCCTTTTGAGGGGTTAATTTGGTTGGACCCGACACTCGGGCTTTTGGGTGTTAGCCTTGCCTTCTTTCAAATGTCCCTCTCTTGGATGGTTTTCTCGGTGTTTTGGTTGTTTTTTTTTTTCTTTTCTTTTTATTTGTTTCTTGTAATGAATTGAATCAATAGCTCATAAGTTTTGCTTTAAATGTTGTAATTTTAGAGAGCTTATGATTCACTAAGGACATGTAACATTTTATTTATATTAATGTGTATGCCCCTATGTGTATTTTATAAAAAAAAAATAACATTTTTTATTATATTTGAATAAGAATTTGATTCTAAATAGAAAATAATAGAAAAAAAAGGATTCATTTAGTCAAACTCACATAGTGGGATAAAAATTTAATGGTACTGTTGTTGCTATATACTTGAAAATTCGTTAAATTTAATATAAATTACTTAAATATTATACTCATCTCAAAATAAATTCAAAAATATCCTTACAAATTATGTAGAATTTTTTCTTTTTGTGCAGTTGAGAAACAGAAGCATATAAGCTAGTAGCTTTTGCCGACAGAATTTCTAATATCCACTCCATGCATCAAGCTCAATTCAACGGACAAAAATCTTGTGAGGAATTTTTTAATAAAAACTGTTTATTATCATTCATTTTACAATGTGGACTCCGATGAAATGATTGATCCGAGCCACAGATACCACTTGGTAAGTTATAATGAAGCTGCATTATCATTCCACTATTCCTGAAAAGTGCATTCGACTATTCAATAGGAAGTATTGAATGTCTTGTTTTGATTGAATAATGAAGAGCAGTGATGCTTTGATCATAATTAGGATTAAGGTTTCGTTTGGGACGACTTTTTTATTGCTTCTTTAAAGCATTTTTTTAGTTCAAAAATTTTAAATTTTTTACAAAAAAGCTGCTTCAAAAAGTATTAAGAAAGTTATCCCAAATGAATCATAAGGCTTCATTTGGGATAATTTTCTTATTGCTTCTTAAAGCAGCTTTTTAGTACGAAAATTAAATTTTTTTGTACAAAAAAGCTGCTTTAAGAAGCAGTTAGAAAGTCGCCCCAAACGAAGTCTAAAGCTTCATTTGAAATGACTTTCTTACTGCTTCTTAAAGCAGCTTTTTAATTAGAAAATCGTCACAAATGAAATCTTAAACTTCATTTGGAACAGTTCTCTACAGTAACTTTCTAGCACAAAAATTTTTTGAGAGCTTAATATTTTGTCAGCTTTGAGGGAGGTTTGTTTGCCTAATATATATAACTAATCATATGAATTCAATTATCTATTTAGTTTATGCTGAGTGAGGATCCAACAATTTTGAAGAGAGCTAAAGGTTTTTTTAGCACAGGCTCCAAACAAAGCTGCAAAATAATTTAAAAGGATACATTATTAATGATTTGAAGTGTCATATTCTCTTCTGATGAGAAAAGAACATAAAATCATGATGTGCTCAACATCACATGAATTATTATGGATGATATTAAGTGGTATTTTCTTAGATTAATTACTCTGATAAATTTAATTGGATTTTTCTTACATGTCAATGCACCAATACAACTCCAGCAGATTTAAGAAAAACATAAAATCGGATTTGGGCAAATGTTTTGCACATGAGATCTAAAGAATATGAATTAGTCAGTTGATAGAGAAATTATTAAGTGCGGAGTTCGGACGGAAAGGGCCACTTCGTTGTACGTACACAATGTGCATATTAATACACACATTGTGTACAAAGTTGTATACAATATGTCTATTGGCGATGTGGCCGCCTTTAAATGGAGTCCGGATGCCAGCTATGTCCAGACTCTGCACATAATAATTTATATGTCCTGTCGGATTTGAAAATTTGAATAGCCTTGAAGTATATGTTCCTATGCATACGCATGAGATGTAAAGTTAGAATATGATCAGGAATTATAATTTTTGTTTCTTAGACATTAGTTTATTGCACTTTTTATCAATCATTTATGTTATTGCTTTGATTGGCTATCAAATGCAGTTTTTGAAGTCTAGCTATTATTTTTAAATAAAAAAAATGGTAGCAGGGCATTTAATAAGAAAAGTGATGAAAATGGTAAGATATGCATGTCATCCACATATACATACATGCATATTGATAATTATCTACATGAGAATGATGCTTCTTTGAGGAATAGAGGTCGCTCTATATGCCCTGGTGTACTAAACTTCATAATAATTGAGTAAATATGAAAATCAATGAAAATCGTGCAAGCTACAAAATTATAGTCTATTATGTTTGGACTCTTATATGGGTGACATCATTAGTGACCTCATACTTATATAAATATTATTTTTAGATATGCAAAACTCTTAGATTGAAGCCCTTTAAGAACCAAATTTTGATCTAGATTTTATGATAAAATACACTTTTCATTCTAGTTAATTTTGATTTAGTGATCTAGATTTTGACCTCATACTTTTCATCCATTATAGTAAATAAAATATAATTATGTTTAATATAGAAAGTATCAAAATGTACTAATGGTAGGCAACATAAATACTAATGAGAAAAATTTTACAATTTTAAAATATAACTAAACTATCAAAGATCATATATAATAATATTAATTTAAAGCTTTAATTGAACTAACTATTATTTTTATATTTAAAAAAATTTAAAAATGATAAAAGTAATTATTTTTT